CAATGCTGCCAATTTGTTGGTGCAACTTGTACCCCTTGTAAAATCGTAGCACAGTAGGAATCTTGTTGTAATTCATGTAGCAATAGGGGTCTGTAATCGCTAATAGGACCACTAAAAGTAGCTAATTGGGGTGTGGTCATGGGAAGTGCCCCTTCTGGAAGGTGTGATAAAGCGTCGGCTACAATGTTAGTTTTACCAGCTTTGTAGACAATGGAGTAGTCGAAGCCCAAAAGCTTTGACAAGAACGCTTGTTGCTCCAGAGTTTGGATAACTTGATTCATAAGGTTATGCAAACTCTTATGATCCGTACGAATGGTGAATGGTACTCCCAATAGGTACTGTCTCCATTTGGCTACGGTCGATGTTATGGCAAACATCTCCCGTATATAAGTGGATTTGGTCCGCATAGTTGGAGCTAATTTTCTGCTGTAAAAAGCAATGGGACAGTTATTTTGCAACAAAACTGCTCCCACCCCGATGCCAGATGCGTCGGTCTCCACAATAAAAGGCTCCTTAAAATTTGGTAAGGATAAAATTGGTGAAGCCGTTAATGCATCCTTGAGTGTGCAAAATGCCTCTGCCGCTGTAGGGGACCGGCGAAACCCCTTTTTTGTGAGGAGATCCATTAACGGAGCTGCAATCGAGGCATAATGCCTAATAAATCTGCGATAGTACCCTGAGAGGCCTAAGAAAGCCCGTACTTGTGTGGCAGATTGAGGAATAGGCCATTCCCTGATAGCTTCTGTCTTGCTGGGGTCTGGAGCGACACCCTCACCCGAAATAATATGCCCCAAAAACTGAATGGAGGATTGGGCAAAGAGACACTTGGAAAGCTTTGCAAACAGGGAGTGTTCCCGCAATAAGAATAAAACTTGAGCGAGATGCGTAATATGGTCCTGGAGACAAAAACTATAGACCAAAATGTCATCAAAAAATATCACTACAAATCGGCGTAATAATTCAGAAAAGACCTGGTTCATGGTAGCCTGAAAGGTCAACGGTGCATTTGAAAGGCCAAATGGCATAACTAAAAATTCGTTGTGACCATGATGAGTGCGAAACACTGTTTTGTGTATGTCCGCTGGGTTCATCTTGATTTGATGATATCCAGAACGGAGATCCAACTTGGAAAATATAGTCGCACCATGTAACTCATCCATCAATTCATCAATAGTGGGGATTGAGAACTTGTCACACACAGTGACAGCGTTTAAAGCACGATAATCCACGCAAAAACGCCAGGTTCCATCTCTCTTCTTAACTAATAATACGGGTGAGCTAAAGGCTGAGTGACTGGGACGGATAACACCACTGTGCAACATTTCAGAGACCATTTTTTCTATTTCATTTGTTTGGAAATTAGGGTATCTGTATGGTCTAACTTGAACAGGCTTGGCATCTGGGAATAATGGGATTGTGTGATTGGTGGGACGATCTGGAGGTAAGGCTAATGGGGTAGTAAAAATGACGGCATATTGGTCCAATAGGGATTGCACTGCTGGGTGATGGGCCACAGGTGTTGGGGATGATGGGTGGGTGGGATCAGTAGATAAGCACATAAGGCATGCATCTAAGGGATTTTGTGAAATCATTTTGTGGAGCTGGGACGAGGTAATTAAACCGGCTGTAAGGCGTTGCTCACCTTGAAGAGTGATGTTGGCACCTTGGTGAGTAAAGCCCATGGTCATGTTATGGTAATCTGTTAAAACTGGACCTAAGGTAGCCAACCATTGAACACCCAAGACAATATCAGCCCCCTGTAATTCCAAAACAAACAAGTCCAGTGGAAATATGTGACATTGAATGTCTAAAGGAACAGCTTGGCACATGGCTGAGCAAATTAATGAATCACCATTCCCAACTTGCACCTTAAATTGGGAAATTGCCAACATAGTTAAACGCAAGTGAGCAGCAACTCTGGGTGTAATGAAATTATGTGTGTTGCCACCGTCAATAAGAATTTGGACAGATTGGCCTAAAAGGGTGCCAGTCAAACGGAACGATTTGGAAGAATAAGTACCAAATAAGGCATTGAAACTTATCTCCGGAGCTTCATCATGTTCCTCAATCTGGGGTTCTGGTTCCTGCAAGGTGTCCATTGGGTCAGGAGGTTCATCCTCCTCAATGCCTTCTAAAAATAATAAGGAAGCTCGACCTTTGCATTTATGACCATAAACAAATTTTTCATCACAATTGAAACAGAGATTTTTTTCTCTGCGTACAAGCATTTCAGCTGGGGATAATCGGCGAATAGGAATTGCGGGAAGAGGTTTAGGTGAGGGAGTGGATGGCAAGGCTAGGGTGGATTGAGGTTTGGGCTGGGTAGGGGAATGAGGGTGGCCATAAGGGTTTGAGGCAGTATGTTGTCTAGGTATCCAGGGTCGTGGGGTTTTGTCATCTGAAAATCGGTCTTCGAAAACCTTGGCTAGAGCCAAAGCTTCATGCCAATCAGATGGTCTCTGGGTGAGGACCGAACGCCTGATGCGAGGCTTGAGACCGGAAATGAAGAGACCCCGTTTCATAGTGGCTGATAAGCCAGGGACCTTGCTTGCAGAAGCTTCAAATGTAGCTTGATAATCAATGGCTGAACCCAGTTGGTGCAACTCAGCTAGGGTTCCAATTGGTTCCTCAAATTCAGAAGGCCCAAACCGCCTGTGTAGAGCTGTGATAAAAGAAGCCCAAGTAGGGAGTAAACCCTCCTCACTAAGACCCCTAAACCAACAAGCTGCGGGGTCGTCTAGGTGAAATGAAACAATTAGTAAGCGTTCCTCATCACCGATTTGATAATACTGGGAATACTTGTCAACAGCAAAAACCCATGAGGTTGGATCACCAGATGAAAATCTGGGAAAAAGAAGCTTAAAGGGGCGAAGCTTAACCAGATCTGAAGTGCTGGTATTGGGTCTTGAACCTAGACCAGAACCAAGTAAACCTGCGTTAGAGTGTCCCACAGGAAATTGACCTTCCAAGATCCGTTGCAGGACGTGTTGAATTTGGGTTTGCGACTCATGGAGGTGAGCGTTAGAGTCCTTAAGATCCAAGTGCTGCTGCTCGTGCACCAATTCTGCAGCACGTAGTTGTTGTTCCAAGGTGTCCAAGCGGTGGGTTTGTAGTTCCAATGTGTCTAATCTTTGAGAGATATCTCTCATACGGGTGTTATCAGCCATGGGAGGTAATGTGGAGTAGTCAACGAGAGCACCAAATGTAGGGTTTAATTCAGTTTTTCAGAAACACAGAAGAGAAGGTTAGGAAGAAAAGAGAGTTCAACATTAGAGAGAGAGAGAGTAGAGAGAGATGAGCTAAATTCTTGTTACCTTCTACTAACTTCCAAGTTAACCTATAGTGCCAATTATCATTGGGCCACCTAATATCAATTCAAAGACATGAAAATAAAAAGGTCCGTCAATACTAGAATGTATTAAAAAGGTCATAACCCCTTTAGCCCGTCTCAAAGTCCTTGAGATAGCTGGGCTGTCTTCTAATCCTTTTGGCATCCTCCACCAAGTTGTGCGTTGGGCTTGATACTTCACAAGGGCCCGTAACACCAACTATCCCACTTTTTTAAAAATAAACAAATAAAAATCCTCCAGCTTAGTCTCATTCATGGGGAGACATTTTTTCGTGTTAGAGATCCGAGCCAACATTTTCAGCATTGTGGTACATATAACGAACAAACTTTTTTATTTTTGACATTCAAATTTGTCCTCTAAAAGTATTTCAGATATGAAGTTAATCTTTAATTTTTCTAGTAACTTTGTTCTTCTTCTTTTTTTTTTTTTTGGTGTGGAGTAACTTTGTTCTTAATAATATGAAATGAACATCAATTTAAACTTTAAATTAATATACATTGTCCAAAGATATATTAGAAAATTACATTAATTATATTTTAAGTATTAAAGAGCTAAATTAATATCTACAATTCACAAGGACTAACTTAAGTATTTAGTGTTTGAGAAATTAATCCATTAGTTAATCGCAACGATATCGGATTGTCAAAGTTATACTTTTTATATTAAAATAGAATATTATGTTTATTTTTTTATGCCTAATTAAATTTAGACAAAGATTAAGACTATGGGGCACTGAATACAATTTTTCAATAGTATCTAGTAATCATTTGTCAACAATGTCTAATCTTTGTTCGTAGATCAGAATCAGGATTTGAGATAGCTCGATTAAGAAAAAAAAACCTTGCAAATTGGACGTCGTCTGGAAGAAGCATTACAGCCACAGGCCTATTGCTCTTGCAATGGAGGCAGAATCAAAAGAAAGTCAGCACCAACAAAAAGGAAGCGACTTTGAACTGGGCTGCAGGCTGAAACCTAAGGGTGTGTTTGGTACTGGAGAAATTTTTTGGTGACCGATAATCATGATTAATGGGAATTCAGTAGAAATTGAGTTTATTTGGAATCTTACGAAAAATGTGTTTGGTTCGCCAAAATATTACCGGGAATATTGGGTAAAAATTATTGATTCCATATTTGGTTTAGAACGAAATATGACTTGGAATATGAGATTATTTTACAAAAATAACCCCAAACTATTTTTACTTTTGTAATTGATAGATTGGGTCTAGATTTTTATGTGTATTGGAGTATTTTTGTCTCAAAATTTATTGTTGTGCTTTCCTTTCACTTGGTATTCTGATTGGTATTCCGAATTACCATATTATTTTTTGTAATCTGAATAGTGACTTTTCTTTATAAATCAAATTACCGGTAATCCTTGGATATCCGGGAATCGTAATTTATTCCTTCTACCAAACGTGGTAATTACATTTACCAAAGAAGGATTACCGGTAATCCTCTCCAAAAACTTGAACCAAACACCCCCTAAAGTCAAAAGTAAAACGTGCTTTATTTTATTTTAATATACATGAATAATTAGATGGTAGGGATGGCTGTTGCTAGAAAAAAAAAATAGTGAATACGACTTATATATCATATGCTATCTTAAATGAAAATTTGAGACTCACCAAGATTACAAATAAATTATCAAATAATATAATCACTTTTCTTGGTACATAAAAGTTTTAGATTACAGGAAGGTGGGATTACATATCACCTATCAAAAAAGAAAACCTGAAAATTGAACCCAAACCACGGGTAATAAGGTGCATCAATCCTCATTTGGCATAATCACTTTTCAAAATAATGCCAGGATGGACGATTCCCCCGAACATCAAACTCTTGAAGTTTGAGAGATAATGTGCAGAATCTGATTATGTAAATTGCCGTTGGTAACAAGGACACCACCAGAAGGGAATATAATCCGCCGGCCAACTTGATCTGCTGCAAGATCTATTTCACTCCCTTTCCAGTCTGTTACCTGATCAAATTGGATGTTATCCCATGAACCAATTACAAAACAAAAAATAAAACAAAATTGATGATATAAGAAATACATACGGTTATTCATATACAAGTATCCACGAATTATAAATCTGTGTTAAAACAACTTAAAAGGGATATCATAAATCCCAAGACTGGATAAGGTAGCAAAACTACAGAAGTAAAAGGTCACACCACATTATCTCGTAAGAGAATTCCTTTTGGGCACTAGGAAATCAAAGAACAAACAAGCGCTTGTTGATTAGATGGAAAAGAGATATAAACTAGCTGTCATCAGTTATGGAGAGCACAACAACAATTGTCTAAAGTTGTAGTAGTTTCAGTGGAAATATTTGGAAGAAATTGCTCATACCTTTAACTACATGCCTAATAGAAAAACAAAATACGCAAAAACATTTTGATGGTAACTTAATATCATGCCTTGATGAAAAGGTTAACAGGACACAAAACAAGAATATGAAAAACTAGGAACAGTTGTCTTCCATAACGAGTTAGAATTAACAGTATGTCCACAGTCACCAGAGATAAACTTGTTTTGTAAATAGAAGACCAGACATTGAAGCATGTCAACAGCATTTTGTTACAAATAGTATTTTTCTTTTTCTTTTTTGGGAGGGGGGCACACTAAACATGATGTCTGAGCCCAGCTTTTAGTATTTGACATTAGTAACCTGTTAGTAATACCATAGTAATGTTCCGTGTTTGAGAAGAGATGCAAACTGCTACTGCAACTATAATACTCTCTTGTTATTAAAATAAAAACTCAAGTTTACACTTCAATCTTCTCATGTTTACCAGTTTAACACAACTCTGCAGTATATTCTCATAATTGGTATGCTATCTTATAAACAAGAAGAAATCAATCATGCCAGATTAAGACTAATGCGAACATTATGAATTCAAGTTGAAAAATCAGAATATTCAAACAAAATAGAAGAAAAACCATACCTTTCCACCTGCTTCATGAATGCATATCATGCCAACAGCATGGTCCCACGCCTACACATGGCCAAAATAAAATAAACAAATGCTACATAAATTATCCATCCAATTATAAACTAAAAGTTGACAGGCTACCTTTATGATGGTCTTCTCTTTTGCTCGGAGAACAAAAACAGATGCTCTACCTGAAGCCACCATCATATACTTGCATAAACTGCATTGATCCACAAGAATGTCAAAAAGAAAGGAAGAAAAGATGAAAAATCAATGGACGTAAAAATAAATAGCGCCAATTTTTAAAACCATGAGATGATCCTATCAATAAATTTCAGAATAGTAATTACACTTAAATGAATTAGTAATCAGAGCAACAACTTCACTGTTCAAACTTCAAACTTAAGATTAATAAAGACTTCCTTTCAAAGAGTGCACTGTAATTTGACGTAAAAACCTAAGCAGTAAAAATAGGATATGCAAAAACAAAATATAAGAATGATTGTGATATGAACCTTGGGAGAGCCTCACCCCAAAAGCTAGCTTATGAGATAGGAGAGCCCAAAGTCCATATAAACCCTACACCAGATCTTATGTTTCCGATGTGGAACTCCAAGTCCTATACCTTGGAGTAGGATTGTAATATTTCACCATGCTCCGCAGCCCCAGCGCTCATGCGACCTGGCTTTACGCTAGTCTTTTATTAGCCCCGGGCGAATGCCAGTGTCATTAGCCGCGCCGCTCGATTGCAACCAGGAGACATAGTGGAAGGTTCTAATACCAATTGATACGAACCTTGGGAGAGCCTCACCCCAAAAGCTAACCCATGAGGTAGGAGAGCTCAAAGTTCATATAAACCCCACACTAGATCCTTATATTTCTGATGTGGGACTCCAAGTCCCATACCTTGGAGCAGGATTGTAATGGATTGCTTCATACATTGCCAGCTAGTTCACACCACACTTCATAAAACATCAATTACCAAAACATTTCGATTGGATGCAATAAAGTTGAAAATATATATGGATATTTCTCAGACCTTCCACAACAAGTTGACAAAAGAAGAATTTGGTTGTTCCCTACATCATCAGGGTTGTTTGTTGCATTAAATAAAGAAGACAGTGGCAGTGATTCCCATGTTTGACTATCTGGAATACAGAAGTGTGCTTTATGTACTATGTCAGACCCATCAACAGAACATCTGGTCCACGCACTAGGCAATTTGGGCTTGCTATTCAACCTTTTTGTCCATGTTCCACAGTCCATATGAGCAATCATTATAGTTCCTGATCCAGAAAGAGCATCCCTACCCTCCATCATCTCAGTAGAGGATTTCTTGGATAAATCTTCCTGCCAGTTAGGGCAACCCATAACACCAATCACAATCTCCCCTTCAACCACAAGAGCCAAACCAACCTGTATTTTTTTTGACAATTCCTTAGACAAAGATGATGATAATAATGACGAAGTCAGATAAACATATGATGCACTATGAAGAAAAAAACATTCATCACAAGTATTCCTTATCTTAAGATGTAATACAGTGATACACAGCTTATATTATACACATTCCTCGAGACGAAAGTGCATCATAAATCATAAACACTATCACAAGCAAATGTTTACTCTACATCAGAGAGCTCTTCCAGATGGAACCACTAGGAAATGTCTATGGTTGTACACTATAATATGAAAAGAATTTCAAGAAGTATCTATAGAAACTTGAATCAACCTTCATCATGACTTACCACATATAAGGCTTTGCTCGTTCTGAGAAATCCTCGTGTTCCATCAATTGGATCAAGCACCTGTATTATTCAATGGAATTAAGTTCTGAGCGAAATAAAACCATGAGAAAGAAAATTCATGAATTCCCAGCATTAAATTGTAAATAGATAAGGTCCTAGGGACTAGTAGAAGTCAAATTGTAAAAATATATAGTTTTAAAAAAAAGGGGGAATAATTACCACCACTTGCTCATCTCAGTAATGAAATGTGTACTAAACTAACATCTCATACAGCACAGAAAATGATGCTAGGAATCAAATTTTGAAAAAGCTATAATGCATCACATTATAGCATTTAATTGAACTGCTTAGATATGCCCACCCAATATGTGGCCGGCTTTGATCCAAACACAAAAGCATCTGTGCCCCCTCTATCAATCGCTTCGAGTACATCATCTTGTGTCAGTGGTTTACAAGTGGAGCTAGCTTCAGCAGTAACTGCACTGAGCACAGCATCCGCTAAGTTTCTTGATCGCAAGAAAGCAGAGTCCTCCTCAGCCACCAACGGGATAGAAGGGAACAGCTGATTTAACTCTGTTTTGATAATCACATAAGATATAAAACCAGAATTTTCAATCCCATGAAAAGAATAACAGCTTCTGATCATCATTTTCAAGGCTAAATGCTAAGCATAATACTAGCTTAATTTCATTAATATCAGGAAACTATGCTGCAGAAAACTAGTATTTATGCAATTTTGTTGAATGACATTGGCCGGAAATTATGAGTATTAATCGGACTCCATTGGCATTTTCAAAGTTCCACTGAGTCCTTATTTCAAAATCATATTCATCACATTGTTGTTATATCCCCAGAGAGAAGAGCAACTTAGATAGAACTGTAATTGACCACGTCAAATCAAATTCATTATACCACAATGGGTATGGTTGCATTCATACAGTTATCAGAAATCATGAACATGCTAAGCTACTTTGAAATTTGACATTAAGTTAATACCCAAACTTAAGAGAGCCTGAACTCCAAAATCTGCCACAGTCACCGGGGTCTGATCATTTTTTTCGAGAACCTTCCCATCAGTTGAGAGTAAAGATGATTTCACCTGCACAGTGCAGACAATCCATATACGTCACGTAACATTTTTCAAAGCTTTTATGCTTCAAAATAATAAAGGTCAAAAAATACAATTTTGATAGAACTCCACTGCATGGTTTGTCAAATTAAGAACAGTTAGAACCCAAACCAAAATTGGGGAAAAAGGTGACAAAGAACATCACATGAACACAGAGACGGCAAGCCCTCTGGACTACATCAACGGCAGCTTCAAGCTCTTTGTAATACTTAGCATTTTTCTGAGGAAATGGAAGGTTCGCCCTAATGGAATCACGGAATTTCAGGTTTTGAGAGGAAATGAAAAGAGTTTAATTTTGAGATGAATAGAGAAACGGCAGAAACCTTACGTTGAAGCGTCGGATGCTACAGCTACGACTACGACTAACACTTCCGCCACCGTCAAAGAATCGGACGGCGAAGACACGAGCCATCACCATCACCATCACCCTGCACAGTGTCCTTCGTTGAAGGGGAACTACTGAACATTTATCTCTCTATTTTTAATAAAAAAAAAAAAAATCTTTTTTATTTATATGAAGCAATATGTTTATATAAAAATTAAAGAATTAATATTTTTCCTATGTATTGCACTCATATGAGTGTAAAATATAAAAATTATCTTTATATTGATGGAGAAATATTAATCTCAAAAATCAAAATTTATTTTATTTAGTGAAAAACAAAAGGAAGAAATTATTTTCAATTTCAAAAATTAAGAAATATAAGTACGAAAAATGGAAAAATTCATAGACATTGAGCTGAGCATGCCCTGCGTCAAGCCCCTTGGTTTTGTTTAATGTACGCAAGTGGTGTAGGATCTATATTTTGTCGGATTGAAAATAATGGAGAATTAGACTTAAAGTTTGCTTGATCTTTATGATTGGTCGTTGTTTAGGGAGCATTTAGTTTCACCATCACTGTGTACTTCTTTGCCAAGTCATATTGATGTGTCACTTATATTTCATATAATATGTGGCGAATCTTAAAGGTAGCTTTGATACCAAAAAATCTTTTTTATTTTTTTTATATTTCATGTATAAAAAACAGAAATAAAGGTAATGCCACACAGTGTACCTCTCAAAGGAATTAAATAAAATATTTGAGTTCGTCTATATTTAATATATATTTAGATGTGAAGACCCCAAGATATTAAAATAAAAGGGAAGTATTGGCTTTATACGTTAGAAGAAAAAATATACATGGTATTATTATCATCCAGAATATTCCTCGTCACAAATTGGACGAGAACAGTAGTGAGCTGTATACGAATAGGATACAGTCAAGAGATAAGCACGAAGAAAAACCATGGGAAACAGTTTGGTTAAAATGACAATTAAGAAAGAAAAAGTCATATTTGAAAGCACAACAACCCCTATATTCAATTCTTATCTAATCCCTCAGTAGTTACTTTCCGATTTAACCGTTTCTCTGTTCGTATACATCCACTTTCCATCAATCCACGGCCCTCCAAAATATCTTCCACTACAAAGCCTAATACAGTAATACAAAAACTAAACAAGATAACGTAAATGTACTAAAATAAAAAAAAGATAACGTAAAGTTCGAAAATCCCACGTGGCGTTAGCTTGTTGTAATCCTTTTTAATGCGACCTACACGTGTCCTTCGCCCACAGAATTGTGCCCGTGGTTCTTTGTTTCTTCGGAAACTCCGCAAAGCGACCACATTCGCAGCCGGTTGTTTCCACCTTCTCCTCCAGGTGACCCATGTTTTTTTATTTTTTTTAACCTCAACCCACTTCTTTTATAAAAAGCCATTGAGCTTGAAAAGCCATTTTACACTTCTCAGATCCAAAATCCAACGAGAGCTTTTCTATAGCACTTGTATTTCAGAAAGAAAGAAAGCTAAAGATTATTTTCACTTTTTCAGTATAAAAAAGGCTAATTTCAATTCTGGGCATGAGTTTAAGGTACACGAGTAGGGTGTTATATCAAGCAGGGATGAGAATGGTTCAGGGGATGAAAGAGCAGGGGTCAAAGTGTGACTCAACCATAAAGTCTCTGAGGGATTCAGCATGCTCCTCTTCCTCGAAGCAGGCCAGGCGTTTCTCAACTTCTTTTGATTCAACTTCCAACAATGACAACCTCAAACGAGCAGAAGAGTCTCTGCGCACTGTCATGTACTTGAGTTGCTGGGGTCCCAACTGATCCAAGAGATCCCTGCTTCGCTCCATTTTTTATCTACGGGATTAATTTTTTCCTTTTTTTTGGGTGTGTATGTGTGTCTTCGTTAAGCTTTGCCGATATGTGTATGTATACGTCTTTACACATGAGTACAGCAATAATTATGTCTCTGAACTCAGCCACTGCTATCAATTTCTGTTGCTTCAGTTTGTAAGAATGCTGAATGCTTTCGTCCAATTTTTGCAAATGCTAACATGACTCAATTAAACATTATTGTCAATATTATTATTGCACTGTAAAATACAGCATGATTTATGCAAATATGACTTTGACAACATTACATTTTAATAAGATTTTGTGAGTATATAAATATTATAGCGTGCTAGTTAGTTGTATATAAACAATTTTCATAATTTTATTTTTTATTTTTTTTATACTTTAGAAAGGACCTCAGTCGTTGAAATGTTTTTTTTTTTTTTTTTTTGTTGAATTGCAATATCGTGTATTATTTGATCAGTTTTTTATATGGTGTAGCGAATCTTATTGAATAATAAGATACAAAATAAAATTAATTTTAAAATAGATATTTTAATTATTTCTTTTATTAATGCAGATTTTTCAAAAAAAAAAATTTGAGCTTAAATCACAAATTAAATTTTTATTTTTATTTTTTATTATTATTAATAATTTTTAATTTAAATCATAAATCAAATTTTTATTTTTTTTTATTGAAATTACAAATTTTAATTCATTTAATTCAATTTTTGTATCGTATGATAATATTATATTATTCGATACAAACTATTTTTTGATAAACTCCACAATATATATAGCTATATTTGTAAATCATATCGTAGGAATCGTACTGCGTATCAGAGTATACTCCGTAACTATGCTTAAAACTTTCCCGACAAAATGTTTCCATTTCTTGCTCTGAAGCTGAAGCAGTTCTGGTGACGGTGTAGCAACATATGGGCTACCTTAACGATAATCATGTTGAAGGCCCGGCTAGGTAATCCTGGGCCAGATTGGGTTGGAGTCAGTCCAAATATCGGTGGTCCAGTGGGTAGAAATTCCAGTTGCTCTCCACCACATAAAGAAGAATAATAGATAAGCCACCTTAACTACAATCTTTCAACAAAAGTAGAACAGAAAAAGATGATGATTTCACTACAACCCTATAAAACATGTCTTCAAAGAACATTTCTCTTCAACCCTTCAAAGCTACGAAATTCTAGACAAACACAAACTAGTTTGATAGACCAAAGGAAGGCTTCACGTAGAAGAGAACTCAAATGCAGTGTTGGACAAGGGGGAGAGAAGAAGCCAGAGAAGCGAACATTTTTGACACTGGAGGAAGCTGGTTTGGTGGAGATATCTGGGTTGAGCACCCATGAGCGCTTTCTATGCCGTTTAACGGTACCCCTCTTGACCTTGTCATGGATTGTGGTTGACTATTGTTTCTTCAATGAGTTTTCATTTTATTTTTTGTTGTTGTTGTTGTTGTAGATATCGTCCCTGAATTTACTAAGAGTGATATCAGAGCAAGAAGGGTGTCCAATCGAAGAGCTTAATGCTGGGAAGGTATGTGATTGGTTCCTAAAAGACAAGCTGAAAAGGGAGCAGAACATTGGCTCTGCGGTTCTTCAATGGGATGATTCAGAGTTACCATTTTAATTCTTTATTTATTTGTTTTAAGCCATGAGTTTTCTAGGATTATGTTAATCAATAAAGGGGTGACACTTTTTTTGGTGTCACATTCTAAAATTCTTATGGTAAATGCTTCATAGTCATTGAATTACAACTTTTATAATTCGAAGGATCCTTCCTGGTTTAATTTGATGTCGTTGGGTGCCAAATTCCAGTAATCCTTGTGTGGCATTACACAACATGATACATGTAAATTTCTACTTTGTAGGGATAGATTCAGACCGATGCAGTATAAAAGCATGGACTCACCATTAATTGCTTGGATGTTCCGGAGAATGAAACATTCCCTCTTAATTAAATTGTGTATATTTAAATATTTTAAAGCGTAATTAGAATTATATAAACAGGTTGCATGACATTAAGAAATTTAAATAACTTTTTTATAGGTTTCACTGGATTGTCATCAATTGTATAAATTGTTCATAAATCACAAGTGTTTTGTGTAATTTCTAATAGGTTCCTCAAATTGTAAAATTTCCCTAACCAACCCTGATAGTACTTTATCTATAAACCTTAGAGAGATGACAAAAACAATTGTCATATTCTACAAATTCATTACAAGTGGCAATTTGATTTGAACTCAAAGGGTCAACCCGTCAAATTCATCACATGACATTTTTTTTAACTTCAATTCCCTTATATATTTCTTAGGTGTCCTGATTAACTTTTTGTTAATTTCAAACTACCTAGCAGTTATATTTTAACAACTAATTATTTTAAGGAAATTACGTAATGATGACTAGTAGTAAGTCATTTCCTATAATCCATTTTAAGCTCTAGTAGTACCCAAAAAAAAAAAAACTAAATTAGTTAGAGTAACTAAAAAAAAGCTAATTTAGTTACTCAAAAGTAAATGAGTCATGATCAAGAAGACTAAAGCCTTAAATCTTATTGGTTAGTAAAAATAAGTCAATAAGTCCTAAAAAAAACATTAGATTAATTGGATTAGTTTAAGTAGTTTGGTTGTTCCCTAACAATTTGATAAACTTCCAAATATCTAATTATTTTAGGATAACTTTAAGAATAAACTACTAAATCTAAGCATTTTTAATACATGCTTAAAATCCGATTGGATAATAAAAAAACATAAAATATTAGTTTTACATTCGAAAAAAATTACCATTAATAAAAATGGATAATTATTCTAACAAAAATAAAAATAAAAATGGATCAGTCAAAAGAAAAATGCATGGCCAAGAAGCCAGGAAAGGTTTGGCCAAACCAAATTCCTACCCTTATATTTATTGATCACAATCCTTATCGTTTTTTAAGATTAGAGAGAATTCTCACCCGCTATAAACTTGCCTACGGTTAATGATAATAACATGTAGGGGTGGCAATACGGGTCTATTCGACACGACCCGACATGACACGCGTTCGACACGTACATTATTCGACACGACCCGTACACGACACGTTTTGTAAATGGGTCAAAAAACACGAACCCGAACATGACTCGTTACGGGTCACAGGTCGCCACGACACAACCCGCAAAATTTAAAATTTAAAAAAAAAGTGAGATTTTTTAAAAAATAAATAAATTTAAAACAACAAAAATAAACTAGCTTATGTTTTTTGAGAAAATTACAAAAATAAATGAATAAAAATAATAATATATAAATAATAATGACTATATATATTAGTATATAAATGAATAAAAATTACAAAAATAACCTTGTACGGGTTGACATGTGAACCTGTGGGTTGACCCGTGACCCGTCACGAAAAAAACGTGTCACATTCATACAACTCGTACATGACTCGCTCCTACCCGTACGTTGACACGACACGCATTTTGACGGGTTGAGTCACGGGTCAACCTGCGGATCAATACCTGTATTGCCATCCCTAATAATAGGAGATGCAGTTGAACAAATAACTGTGCCTAATTTGTATGATATATTTATGGCTTTAATTTTTCTAAAGTGAATGTAGATAAGTTATCTACATTCACTTCTAAAACGACGTCGTTTTGGATTGAAAAATTAAAAAATTATAATGAAAAAGACTATTATAATTCTGAAATAAATTATAATTACAAAAACACATTGATTTCCGCGTCAAAATAATGTCGTTTTGGGCTCAATGTAGATAAATTATCTACATTGACCGTAGAAAAAATGAACCCTATATTTATTCAATTTTAACATACTAAAGCATATTTGAAACATTCAAGTTGGAATGTCTTTGCAATGAGAAGAGTTTTTGTTATTTGAAACGTATAAAAATATTTAAAAGATGCCCATGAAATAAACAGTAAAAACAATAATTTTTATTAGTATGTCTTGATTGTTATTTATTTGCTTTGAAGTTGTACTTATTTCCTATAGCTTTAAAAATGTTTTTATTTAGTTTCATAGCTAAATGCTAAAAAATGAAATGTCACATAGATCTCAAAAGTCCCCATAAATAGCTAAGTTGAAGTTCTAAGGCTACATGATAAATGTTCCACGTCGAATTGTTCAATTCAATCTATACTGTAGAGTCTTTAGGACCTAGAGAGCATAAAGTTATGCGCCACATGAGCATCCTAGGCCTAAAAGACAAGTAAAGAGATACACCCTCATAATAGAATAGTTAAACTTATATGAAAATCATTAAGACTTGAAGAACTTAGGTATCTTTTCTTATAAAAAGTAAAAGAAATTAAAATGAAAATTAATGAAATTATACTTTAATACTTCACATATATGGTTATTTTTCAATTTAGTTATTTATTCAAATAGTTGTGATGCCATTTATGCAACAAAAGAAAAGTTAGAAAAAGAAAGGAAATTGTTTTATTAAAACTTGAACAAGTTTATTAAATTCAAATATTGTCACGTGTGTAAATGCGAGTGGCATAATTTTTTATCAAACTACTACTTTGTGACCCAAAACCTGTTCCTTTTGGACACTTTTATTTAAAAGTAAAACAAAATTATGCTAATTCTATAAAAGTTGTAATGAGTTTGATGTTGCTTATATTATAGGAAATAAAATTATCTCTTACATATAAATAAAAATATGTGGGATCTATATGTAGCCGTGTAAAGAAAAGAAAAGAAAAATATAAACCTTACATATTTTTACGTGTGTGTAAAAGATTACAAGATAAGATATATCAGTGATGACCAACTCATAAAAGTGGGAGAAAATCTTTGGTACTCCTAATATAAGTACATCCATATTAGAAGAGAAAAACTGTTGGGACTTAAAAAAAAAAGTGAGTTAAAATTAGAAAAAAAATTAGTAAAAGAGAGTATCAATCTAGTTCAGTACTCCCTAGCATTAAATTTTTTTCTTCTTCTAAAAAGCTGGTGTTCTATGTAAAGAGAAGTAGAGGAAATGCCTAATAATAACGTATCCGCATCCCAGCAATCCGAGGGGGTAAACAAAGGCGTGTGTAGTGTACATACATATGGGGTAGCGAAGATCCTTAAAATGGATGAAGACTAGGAATGCTTAGTGTAAATATGTTTGTCGGGAAAAGTTATAATTATTATTTTAAGGTTTTATATATATATATATCACGTTGTAGGAAATTTGTAACATCATGTCACTCTTACAAAAAGTGATGGCCCCATCTTTTTTTCTTTTTTTTTTGAGTGGAACCCACATGAAATGTATTAGAGTAACATGACACTACAAGTTTCCTACAATATGACATATATAAAACTCTTATTTTTCTTATGTCACATAAGATAAATCTTTTCTCCTGCCCTCACAACAAATGACGAGACTCACTTTATTTTTTAAAAAAGAAAAGAGAAAAAAATAGAACACGAAAATCGAAGTGAGAGTAGGAGATAAGATTTTTCTTATGTGACATAAGAGAAATAAAACCCTATTTTAATTGTATTATTCTTATTACTTATTTGATTCCCTTTTAAAATCAAGGATAAAAATTGATTTCAAATTAAGTTAACGATAATCGAATAAATAATAAAAGTGATAAAATTAAAATGACAACAAATATAATCGCCTACTGTAAGGGGGCGTTTGGTAAAAGAGAAATTGTTTCTATCCGAAAATCAGAATTTTTAGGAATATGATGGAAAGATGAGTTTTATGGAAATGTTACCAAAAAATTGTTTGGTAGACTAAAATATTTTCGGAGATATTGAGTTAATTTTCTTGATACTATGTTTAGTTGTATTAAATTTTCCCTTGCTACGAGAATCCTAAAATACCATACCGTGGATAGTATTCCTGGATGATATTTTCAAAAAAAATTACACACAAAATAAAATTTCGGAAAAATGAGATTCTCCAAAAAAAATTTAAAAATCGTATACCAAACATATAGATAAATACATTTACAACTTTCAGTTTTCCGAAAATTTTAAAAAAAATTCTAACGAACGCCCCCTGAAGGTTTTGTGGCAGTGGCGAGAGTAAGAGGTGAATCAATTTCAAAGCATGAAATTCACGAGTAGTGATCGTTGGAGGTATTGTGGATAACACGGAGATCATGAGGGCAGACCGAAGACGCGGGTTTGGAAAAATGTGGCCCGCCACATTTTACGAGGAAAAGTCTTCAGTTGAAGTTTAAACTTTAAACGCATAAGTCATCAAGAAATGTGAATTGGAACTTTGGGCCCATGGGAAAGCGAGACAGAAACTACTCACTCTTATCCCATTTCCCACGCTCAAACGCATAATAAAGTCAACTCGGAAACGTCAACTGCTCCTCTGATTGGGGTCAATATCAGGAAAAAAACACACACGTTTTCCCACATCACATTATTACGACGTCGTCCGTCACGCCAATCATGTGCTTCCAAAGTTCAAAGCTTTACACAAGACAACTTCCATTACAATTTACATCTGCTAGCTGTTGCATTCCACCATTACTACCTCAACACAACACAACACAACAAAACACACATCCCTTATTAAGTGTGGGACCCTCCACTTGTGTAGCTGTAACACACCACAACCACAGTTTGGAATGGCAATAGCTGAAGAGAAGAAGGCAGAGTCAGGGTCAGGTGGCAAGGTCGATTGCAATTTTTTCAAGCTTCCCTTTCGCCGTTCAACTGTTTCCGTTCATCGTCACAACCCTCCCACCTCCAGTTCCGTTTCTTCCGTTGCCAAATCGATCCTCCCAACACGACGTCGTCTCAAGCTCAATCCTTCCAATAAGCTCTACTTCCCTTGTATGCTCCTCTCTCTATCTTTATTATTCATTTTCTTTTTGTGCTCGTTTGTTTGTTTGCAGTGAAATAATTGCTTTTGCTTTTATTTGCTATTCGACTAGGTGAGGGGGTGGTTTAGGGCTTTTTTGCTTTCTTTAATTGCTATTAATGTTGCATGTGGTTTTAATTTTATGCTTTTCTTCTTTAGCTGGTGAACTTTCCTTTCATGCATGGCTTCATCTGTGAGCTTTCCAAAACTGAAATTCTTTTGAAAGGGATGCAGGAGCTGAAGATTTGCCTTTAATGTGTTTTCAGAATTTATTTTCATGTTGTTGGCCCATTGCTGTTTTCTAATTGGGGTTGTTATTTTTTTGTTTTCCCCCCTTCAAGTGGGTTGTCATAACCCGGAAATGGAAACTGGAAACTACGAATGAGATTTTTACTAATTGGGGATAATTGATTTGTGTGCCATGATGATGCCAACATTCGCACAATCCTTGTTATTAACTTGGGAGCTAGTTTTATTCACCCAATCAATCGATGGAGATGCTTATCATAGAAAGGATTTCTTATGATTACATATGACAAATAGTTTTATGAACAACCAGGCTATATGACAAATAGGATAGATTTACATGGGAGCAAGAACAGTCATAGTTTACATGAAAATGGCAGTTTCTTAATGTTGATGCTGAACGATGAAGCAATTGTTTTTCTTGAAAACATGGAAATAGTTCATCTAAAGTTAGTAGGGATATATCTATAAAATTTAGTGAGTTCAAATCGTGACGCACTTTAAATTAGATCAGGGGTGGATTCACCTTTACTCACTCACTTTAGAGGAGCCTTGTCCTGAAAAGATATATGTTAATAGCTTCCATGTATTCAACATGAAAATTGTTTGTAAAGTTAAGACAACCGGACAAATTAGATAGAAAAATCTTGTGGCTTCTCTTGCCCTTCTTGTGTTGCACTACTTTCAGACAAAGAAGTACACGCACACGCAAACGCACAAACACAAGTGCTCATTTTATTCTTGTGCATGATTGTTTGTCTTAACTGTTCATGTATTCATGCATGTTTTTAACTTTATTTTATAGCATTTTTCTTTCTTTCTTATCCTCCATATGATTGCTTGACATACTTATCCTTGTGTTATGCCATTTGTTCCTTCTTTCTTTCCTTATGTAGATGAGCCGGGCAAGCAGGTTAAGAGTGCCATCAGGATTAAAAACACTAGCAAATCCAATGTAGCTTTCAAGGTATATTGAAACATATATACCTGTTTATCTGTGCCCCTGTTTTTAATTTTTTTTGTTTCAGATTCTCAAGTTTATGTTACTGAGGCCCTTTCACTTAGTCTTGAAATCAACTGTCTATCTTGCTGTTACTTTGTCTCAGTTTTGCAAAAGAGTACTTCGTTTTTTGCTGTATGAATTAATGATGTTTTTGTCTATGTTTTTAAACCAGTACCAGAATTTAACTATCTATTCATATTTCTTTGTTAATCATCTTGTTATTGTTGTGTATATTTAGTTTCAAACAACTGCGCCCAAAAGCTGTTTCATGCGCCCTCCTGGGGCCATTCTTGCACCTGGGGAGAGTATAATTGCAACTGGTAATAATTAATGTTATACTTCTCATTTTCTCTATATTTTTTTTTTTATTTTTTTTTTTTGTGCGGAGCATAAGATTGTTATAAGATGAAGTTATCTCACTAATATGTATTTTGTTTGCTAGTGTTCAAGTTTGTAGAGCAACCAGAAAATAATGAAAAGCCTGAAAAAACTGGACTCAAATTTAAAATCATGAGCTTGAAGGTCAAAGGATCAATTGATTATGTCCCTGAGCTGGTTAGTTAATTTCATCATCAATAAAAGCTTACAGTTGTGTTGTTTCTTTTGGGTGATTCTTTCTCTCTCCCTCCTCCATCCCCCCTCTGTCTCTCCTGCACTTGTCATGGACACTACTAAAATAAGTTCTGTTGTATATGCTTGGTGTTTTTACTTTATATATCAACCACTTTAGTGTTCCCAATTTTCTGCTTTATATACCAACCATTGTTTTAAAATCGTGAGAATTTGTTCTCCCTGTAAACAGTTTGATGAGCAGAAAGACCAAGTAGCAGTGGAGCAGATTTTGCGGGTTGTTTTTCTGGATCCAGCACGTCCAAGTTCCGTGAGTGCTGAAATTTAAAGTGTTTGTTTGTACTTGGTGGCAATTTTCGTTGTTGTTTCTCTTTTCCTTTTCACTTTGAATTCTCTCTTAATGCAATTTATTCACTCAATATGTTGCTTTACTGTGACTGAGACATTCAGTATTTTCTTTTCTTTTCTTTTTTTTTTTTTTTAATGTAAAAAAATATTTTCTTGTTTTGATGTACATGTTTACAAGCTCGCTGCATATAATACATTAACTGATTGCCTACTTATGAGGTTTTAATTGTCTCATTAAGGCTTTGGAAAAACTGAAGCATCAGCTGGCTGAGGCTGATGCTGCTCTTGAGGCACGTAAGAAACCCCCAGAAGATGCAGGTCCTAAGATTATTGGTGAAGGGCTTGTCATAGATGAATGGGTGAGTATGTTTACTTAGATTTTTAGGAAAAGTTTTCTTTGCAATATGTTACTTATGACAAATGCTTCATGCCTTCATCTATATCACTGATTTTGTTTCCAGAAAGAGAGGAGGGAAAGATACCTCGCAAAGCAGCAGGGTGAAGTGGTAGTGGACTCTGTATAAGGTGCTGGTCTGAAATTATGTATAGTGAACTCTGAAATACAGCCTAGGAAGATGTTCTCTTCGGGGAAATAGTTATGTAATCAAAGCGTCTTTGTTTAGAAAAAAATTCAGGGGAATGGCAAGCGTACTTTTGAGAAACCTATTTTTGGATGAGATCATCCTCCGTATCTGTAGATAAGTGTCATTTGGTTTTTGGGAATAATATTTTGACGGATTTGATGTGAAGTGGTTTATTATAATTTTTGTGTGATCAATGATTGACCGTCGTGCTAAGGTTTCAATTCAAAAGCCTATGGAAAAGATTTTCAACTGAAAAAACTATTAAGGGTAGATGATAAAAATTTTATCTGTGAAATTGTGAATGCAAGTATAAAAATTTTATCTGTTAAAAGTTATATATGTGTGATCAGGATTATTTTATACTGTATAAGTTAAACTCTTAATTTTAATTATTGATCTTTTTTTATATTTGAGAGTTTTAATTTGTTAAACAATTAATGACTAAGATTTTGAATGTAAGATGTATATTTCTTTTTATATCGGTAAGTTGATCTTATCTTCTCTCTAAAACTATGATTAATTATTACGCATTTATGGCAACTTTCGTGTGAAAGCTTTCGCACCAAATAGCATTACTGCACCCCCTAATCATGGTATCGCGTTCATGCTAGATGGACGACTTAGACATAGTGGAAGGTGTCAATCAATTCAACAATGCCCCAATGTGGATACATAAACAATCATTTGCGGTCTAAAAACTGTCATTAATCCAACTGTTCTATTGAAAATGACTTTAGCCCGTAATTGATCTTATTTCGTTGTAGCGTTTGGAACAAGCCAAGCCTATAAAGCAGAAAATACAACCACAACACGGACACCGAACTTAGGTGGATTTTTATGTTATTGATTTAGTGGACGAGACCTACCACAATGCACAGTTCTTCATCCATCGTTTGCTGTGTTTATCATCCAATTCTTCGAGCTATATTACAGCACAACTCTGATCAAAACAGTGTTTAAGGCCCTTCAATAAACACACAATGAACGAAAGCTTGGAAAATTGGAAGAGACACGGGTTTCCTATGCCTTCCACGTCCCGTTAACTTACAACTACCAATATTAGCCTATTTGATCCACGTATTCACATATTTCCCATTCTCATTGGTTGCATGCACGTGATATAGTAATGAGAGCCAAGCCATTGACTTCATCCCACAAGCAACAAGTTCACTTTCCGCTCTTCACTCACAGAATCCAAGCTCTCAATTCTTCACCCAAATATAGGAACTAGCACTTTCACAATGTTATTTTAGAGCTTTTAGAAGCAAATGGTGATTAAAAAAAAGCATAGACAGAAAGAGAATGCTGTTGGTTCATTTTGTTGTCTTCTCTGAAAGATCCCGAGCAACAAGCATGCGAAGAAATTGGCTTATTGTGTATTCATCATGTACACAATAGTAAAAGACAAAATTAGCTAGGAGACAAAGCAATACAGATGGGAAACTTCATCTATCACTATCTCTTTGTAGATCACTAGATAGAGAAAAGCAAGATGATGTCCACCCCATGTGATCACACACGATTCTTGTATTCATACCCAATATAATATTTTTAAAACACAAACTGAGGTGATAACTGTCATTAGTAATTACATTTTTTTATTATATAATATAATATATTCTTTTCTTCTTCACTACAGAATTGCCATGCCTAAAGGCCTAAAAGCAACGCCAGAGTATCCTCAAGAAAATCTACAACAAAGCTCTCATGGTATGGTATATCACTACTTCTGGTTACAATATCAATAAAAAAGCTGTGCTACTCTTTTGATGGGCAAGGCAAATGAAGTAAAACTGAAAACAGATTGAGATGAGGAAATCAAATTTGCAAAACTTGGAAGATAATGATGTAACATATACAGTTAAAAGGAAAAAGGAAAAGAAAAAAAGAATTACATTCAAGAGTGCCAGATTCCACTCAACATACTGCGGAACCGGTTTGTGGATAACTTCCTCACAAGTCTCTTGGCATCAGAAGAAACTTCAGCTTCTGCAAGTTTCTCTATGCTTTTGACATACCCAGAACTGACAATCTTTTTCCTCCCACTGTTGCAACTTGTTAATGACATTAAGATAGAGATTAAGAACTTTTTATTACCTGGATTTCCCTCCTTTGGGTCTAGCCGTTGCAGAAGAAGAGCAATATTATGGTCATCCTGCACAAATTTCTTTCTATTTTTTGATACCATAACCATACCAGAGAGTGCCTCGGCTGCCATTTCACGAACTTCAAATGATTTTGCATTTAGAAACCTAACAAGCTCTGCCATGAAGCCCGCATCACCCAATGCTTTCTTAGCCTCCTCTGATGTTCCACAGAGTCTAAATGCCACTTTGAGCGCCAACTCTTGAATTGAAACCTCCCCATTTCGAACATAATATAGCAGTTGATCCACAAAGCCATAACTCAACAAAATACTTACAGAACTAGATGAAGGAAAACTCAAATTTTCAATAGCTCTCATTACCACCTCCCTGGTTTTAGATGAATACGTCCATTTAGGATCCAAAAGACATAACAAAACACGAATCCCACCTTCTCTAATCACCATCTGCCTAACCGATTCATCTCCAGAGGCAATGCTTTGAATGAACTCTACAGAACTTACCTGAATTGCTTCATCCTTGGATCTCGCAAGCCTTATAAACGTTGAAACCACACCCTCTTCAACCATAAACCTCTTTATCTCTTCAACACCACCAAGATTCCTCAACACCCCACAAACAGGACCAACCAATTCCCCTTTACAATCCACACTGTCACAAATCTTCAACAAGGCCGTGACACCCCCATGAGCCGAAACAGACCAAACATTATCCGAATTCTCAGTCAACTTGAGCAAACACCTAACAGCCCCTACCTTCCCTGACTCACTCCCACATTCCAAAACCCGAATCAAGGGGCCAATAACCCCAGCACCAATCAAAACCCCTTTATAGGAATCAAAGCCCGAAATCACAGAAACCACCTTGGCAGATTCTTCCAGAATCTCAATCTCTGGGGAAGCAAGAAAATCGACCAACACATGAACAAAGTCACCAACTTCGACAACCAACTTCACATACTTGTCATCTTCCACTACAACCTCATGCAGGTTAATCAAAGCCTGCTTCTTCATACCCAAATCACCAACCTTCATCCTTGTGAACAAGTCCCTTATGTAGAACCTCATGTCTTCTTTGCAAGCTCCAAGACCAGGCCTTGAAACAACCACAGCGTACCTATGCGTCAGAAAACCCTTCTTGTATATATCCGAAACCTTCTTCACGTGCACCTCCAACTTCCCCAACGTCACGTCCAAATCGCTCTGCATCAGCAGCTTCCCACTGTAAGACAGATCCAAGCACCGCCGAGCGAGGTCATGGCACTCCTCCACGGTGCCCATTATCGCCGGGAACTCGCCGGAGAGTGTTGATGATTGGTTCTCGCCGGCGATAAGTCCCGAATGAAGCTCCTCCAGCTTGTTCCGAATCAGTTGCCATTTTCCGGCGAAGACCCTGATCAAAAGAGAAAGGGATATCAAGGAAGAGATGAGCTCAACGGCTCGCCGGAGACGGGGACCGGCGGTGGTTGGTTCTCGTTCTTCATCAGCCATTTTGGTTCTCACTGGCTTTGGAGCAAACCCATTTCCCAGGTGGGACTATGGTATTATTGTATGGAATCTGAACAACAATGTTAGAGAGAGAAACTGAAACTGAAGTAGAAAGAGAAAAATGTGATTCTGACTGCACCAGATCTTAGTAATCCTTAGATTGCAGCTGATACATTGTCATTCAGTGTTTGCATTTACCGGAATACCCTTTTCCTTTTGGGGTGTGTTTGGTACGAGAGAAATTTTTTGGTGACCGGGAATCATGATTAATGGGAATACAGTAGAAATTGAGTTTACCTGGAATCTTACCAAAGATGTGTTTGGTTCGTCAAAATATTTCCGGGAATATTGGGTAAAAATTACTGATTCCATTTTGGTTTAGAACGAAATATAACTTGGAATATGAGGTTATTTTACAAAAATAACCCCAAACTATTTTTACTTTTGTAATTGATAGATTGGGTCTAGATTTTTATGTTTATTGGGGTATTTTTGTCTCAAAATTTAGTGTTGTGCTTTCCCTTTACTTGGTATTCTGATTGATATTCCGAATTACCATATTATTTTTGGTAATCTGAATAGTGACTTTTCTTTATAAATCAAATTACCGGTAATCCTTGGATATCCGGAAATCGTAATTTATTCCTTCTACCAAACGTGGTAATTACATTTACCAAAGAAGGATTACCGGTAATCCTCTCCAAAAACTTGAACCAAACACCCCCTTGGAGTTATTTGTAAAATGGTAATTGGTAAAATGAAATGCCCTCTGTTTCATGGGAGTTAACTCACCCAATCTGTCAAATGGGGGTGGTGTTGATTGAGTTTTTTAACCCATCTCAAAAGTAGGGTGGGACGGCTCATTTTTTGGCAGGTTGATGACGGACATAGGCGGGCTGAGGCGGGTCAGTGTAAAATAGAGGCTCGGGCTGACGGGCTGAATTTTTCATCCCACTTTTAAAAGCGAAACGGAACGTGCTGACTCATTTTTTGACTGATTGATGACGGGGTGGGATGGAGCGAGGCGGGACGCCCACTTTGCCACTTCTAGTTTTATGGCAAGGAGAGGATCAATGGATCATGGGCAGTTTTGTAATTATGATGTGAATTGGGCAACACAGAAAAAGAGAGAGAGAGAGATTGATGATGTCTTTTTAGACTCCAATCCATGACCATGAGTGGCATGTTTTTTATTTGGAGGGAATTAATATTGCTGGTTCAACAAAGGTAAACTTGTATATACTGGTCTATAAAAAATTGAATAAAATACTTAAAACGTAGGACAGAAAGGTCATGTAAATTATGAATCAACAAAAAGACAAGTGAGGTAAAAACACCTCGCAAGCAGCCAAGCAAGGCATGCATTACAAAATGCACTTTTTTTTACCTTTATTTATTTTTCTTTTTTTGGTGATACGGAAGTTATATTAGTTAACAGTTAAGAGCAGGAGGTATTAGTTAACTGTTACTTTTATGTAAATACCGTACAGCAGAAGCCGGAGTTAGAAGTTCCTCTCATTAAAGGGGTGCTGATGGAGTAAATTTTCTGTACAACGAAAATAAGTACATTATAAAAAAAAATCATAAATATAAAGATAATATAACTTTTTTTTTTATTTAGTAAATAATGTACCGAATAATCGATACATCCCTAATATTAAAAATATTTTCGTGCTAACGGTGGTTCATGGTAAGGAAATTGGAACCTTTGGATATGAAGAGAAAGTAATATACTTAATCCTATTGGGTGAACCCAATGACGAAGAGGATATGAAGTTAGATTAAAAATTGTATTTGAAGCTCTTATCAATACTTAATTACTAATGAACAAGAAATTTTTTTATGGTATCATTGGGCTCATAAACCCTTTTCTTATATTGGCGATAAGAGTATTAAAGGTATCCACTGTCATAATTAATCTTCACCTTCTCTTATTTGTTGACCGCGTAGGAAAGCATGATGCAAATTCAGTTCTTTAAACCCATTTCTAGTGCATTGTTTTTGAAATTCGGAGTATAAATCATCTCATTCTTAAAGTCACTTCTAGTGCGTTGTTTCCATAAATTTCTTGAGAAAATATTAATAATAAATTTCTTGATATATCTCCATCTTAAAGTCACCTCCAATTGGAAGTCAATTCGAGACCACTAGAATAAATGATGACCTGAGAGTGCTATTAGAGCACTGTTTGAGTTTTAGTTAAAGAACAAACATAAGAGCAAAAGAGAGGCAGGGCTCTGAATTAGTTTCCAGAGAGTAGATGGACCACAACCTTAATAAGGACAGAGCTTTGATTAGGAAAACAAAAGCAAAGGGGCAGATACTATACACACCCCACCACGTGAATTCCTGTTTTTTTTTTTCGCCTAGAGCCAGCAGTGACCTTTCGAATTGAAAGTGGAAGTGACTCTCATAACTAATTGAGAGAAAGTTACTACTTTTTGTTGGTTGCAAAATGCAAACCTATATAGCAAAGAAGAGAACCAAAGGAAAATCACTACCATACAAGCACCCCCAACTAAAGAAGATTTTGCAATGAAATCTCAGCCACATGATCAGCTTCAAATACACAATCAAATCAAATCAAATCTCAAAAAGTGTGCATGTTTTAATGAGAGACAAAGGAGGGTTCACGAGAGAGCGTGAGAAGAAGGTCCAAACGGTACTAGCCAGAGGCCAGGCTCAAAGCAAAAGGGTATACTGTCCATGTGATGACAATCCCGGAAAAAGTATGAACATATTGACCAACCATGCATCCCCATCACCAAGATTAACTTTTTCAGTTTTCCACAGAAAAAAAAAAAAAAAAAAACTTTTTCAGAATTTATGGCGGTCGGTTGTGGAAAAATGAAGAGGTAAGAGAATCAAGGGGCATTTTTTAAACCTTGTTACGTGACAAATGGGATACTAGTACCAGGTAAAAAAACATTGAATAACTCATGATGTGATTTGGTGTCAAATTTTCAACAAACAATGTTAACGGACAAAAAAAAAACCCATTATTCAGCTGGTCACGGATTTTTATATGATGTAATGCCACAAGAAATAGTATGCTTTAGAATCAGCGGCTCTATACTACGTTCAGAGCAATTCAGCTCGTTTATTTTATAAAGCTGAGTACTTGGTGCTCATAGCTCATAGGGGGTCCTGCTGGTTGAGTGGTGAAAAATTTAACTCATTGGAAAATACGTTATTGCTACCCATACAACATAATGGCAATTTGCAGTTCTGTACATAAGTACATGTCTCAATTCGGGGGCCAGGAACCACATATCATGCATGTATCACTCTATATCATGGAGCCAAAGTGGGGCCTTTGCTCTAATTTCATGGTTTCTTTTATCTGTGCACTCCTAGGCCTACGCTATTATTATTATTATTTTTATGATAATATAGGCCTACGTTACTTTATATGATGCTAAATGAATCTATCACATAATTCAAGGATTTAATGTTTCTAATATTATATAAGATAAATTTATCTTCTGCACACACATAAAAATGTGTGAAACTTATATAGGAGACAAATTTATCTTTTATAACATAATAAACAATAAACCCATAATTCAATTGTAGCTCTTTAAGGCTTTCTTTTCTGCTTGTGAATGGATTGTGTTTCGTAAAGTTAGCTAGTAATCATGATTACTGATCAACACTTGGGTTTCAAATTCACTGTTGAATTGAACCAAAACAAAAATAAGAATGTCTGTCTAACCCTTCTCCATTGGAGTCAAAAAGAACTGTGTGCTGTTTTTGTTTTGTATTGTTTTTCTTATGTTAGGTACAGAATGCAATGCAATGCTACCTTTTTAGGCAAGAAGTGAAATTCAAGGCAGCAGAAAAGTCTGAATATACCTTAGCTTTGAAGAGAAATGTAGATATATAACAATGCGGAATGTTATATTTACAAACTCTTACAAACTACACTATGTGTGATCGGTCATACTTCAATCAAGAGTGTATAACCGGTCAGATTTAATGTAATTTGTAAAAAAAATTGTAAACGGATCCTTCCCCTATAACAATATCTTGTGTTCATCAACTCAATGGAGGCGCAAGATGCTCATAACCAATATAACAAATAGGGAAATAACAATTTTATTGGATATTACTTGATATTGCATATGGATTTGGTGTTAATTCAGTATAATAAGAACGATATGTTACGTAGTCATTCATCTGCTATCATAGAAGATGATTATATAGAAACAGGTAAAATCTTGTCACAATGAATTTGTTTTCGGATTTAAGCAATCAAATATGACTTGAATTAAGAAAACGCCAAACATTAAATATGTTGCCCAAAGATTGGTAATTTATATATTTATGTTTTTTACAATGATGCATAAACTTAAAATTATGAACCTTTTAAAATATTTAAACCTGTCATTAGTACATTCCTAATTGCGGTGATAATTTATATTTTACCTTGAACATGAGACACAAGTTCAGATTTGATAATCTGCATGTTTTCAACTTCGATGTGATGTATTAAAGGAGTTCATTAGATACCAATTCTTGATTTACATTGAATTTTCCAAATTATGTATCTTCTAGGATACACTCTTTCTAAAAACGTGGATATGAATGAAAATGACCCCGCTAAGTATCTTTTTCCGGACATTTTCTGTATTCTAAGCACTTTCACATGGGTCATTAAATAACACAAGATTTCAAATAGAAAAATGATATACTTTAACTCACAAATCACCATAAGTCATAACACATTCTAAATTTAAATTACCAAAAGTTTGCAATGTACTATAATTAGTACAGAACATCTAACGTTTTATTGTTTATTAATTTCTTCTGTTTTTTTACTGTTTTGGCGTTCATTTAATTATTTGCCATAATTTTTGGCATATGCATGAAGTAGGCATGATGTCCAAACTACTAAAAGCTGAGAAACACGAACACCAGGTGTAGCTATATGCATCAAACTCTAATCCATTATCTTGACTTATGATTATGATAATGGTTATGGACTAGCTGCATGCTTGATCTTATATGTGCCTATGGGAGATCACCCATGGGTCCTGCATAACCCACATGATATAAGGTTCTTATTAGCTAGAAATTTGAATAGGACTGCTTACCAAAGCTTTGATTACCTGTCATAATGCAAGAAATAGGGTTATATATAGGTAGGACCACAGGAGTCTGCCCTGTTTTTAGATATTTAATTGCTGCATGGTCAAATACTAAACATGTATCAGATTACAGACCTTTTCTAGATCTCATCTTCAGGTTAATAAAATTATTAACTTATTATTACGGAGCATCGATCAAAGTGTCGCTATTTGATTTTTTTTTCTTTCTAGATGACATGTGAACAGTATTCTTTACTATACTGTCTTGCGACGTAATTTGCTATGATTGATAGCGAATTATGTTCGCCAATAATTTTATGACAGGTAACACATTTTCACATAAAAAAGCTGACTAGACAAAGTTCGTTACTAGTGGTAGCGAATTTGATACGCAATGTGACCACATGTCATGAAATCATAGGCGTCTGATAAAAAATAGTATTTACATGATATTTGAGTAAAAAAATTGTCAAATAATGACATTTTAATCAGTGTTACTATTGTTACTTTAAACTGAAGTTAAGAGTTTTTGAAGTAAACTGATAATGGGGCGGCTTTATTGAATCATGTAATCATTGTATGAAAAGTGCTTGAATAAAAGAGTGATTAGGGGTCCAATTCATATATAGTATTTGAATTGGTTCATGACTAGAAACTCTTGACATTGTAACTATAGTCACATACTAGTGTTGCTTCTCTACTGATCAGAGAGGGTTTTCTTCCACATGATTAAAAGTAAAACTATCACCGACGAAGGTTAGCATCTTAATCATTTTTCCTATAACCTAGAATGCTACTGCTACCCTGCTTCTCTTTTTTATCGTCATTTTGTTAAAATTTTATGAGTAAACACCCTTTTTAGTTCCTGGCAATATCTACGAAGTCCTTTTCAGTCCCTGACAATAAAAAAGGATCAAATTGGTCCCTGAAAGTACAAGAAAATGGCCACTCTACATATTTGGGAGTTGACATAAGGACTAACATGACCATTTTTTTGTAATTTCAGGGACCAATTTGGTCCTTTTTTATTGCCAGGGACTAAAAAGAACTTCGTAGATAATAACAGAAACTAAAAAGGATGTTTACTCAAATTTTATATAAATAACTAGAAGAGAAATTAAAGAGACACAAATTTGTAAGAATTTTATATTTCATATTTCTATAAAAATGACTTGATGTGACAGTGTAGAAATTCTATTACGCATTGAGTTATCGGGTTGTCTAGCCGTTTTCCTATCAGTTTGATTGCCCCAGATTTCATAAATGCGTAATAAATAGACAGGCAACAATCTTGAATGCACAACTGCTATAGGAAAACATTCATGTCCATCAATGTCAAGTACACCCCATCCCCTACAAATAGCATCTACCCTTTGAAACTCAAGTATGTTGTTGTATCTTACCTTACTTTTATTATGTTAGAATTGTTAATGACTCTAGCGTTACAACATTTTATATGTGACACCTCTCTCTATGTGGACCACCAAGATTTAGGAGCTCTGATAATATGAAGTTGATATTAAATCACCCCTCTCGCAAATGCCAGAACAAGAACTACAATGAACAAACAAATATCATGTCCATTGCACAGAATTACGAAATTTAGGTAAAATTTCAAAAGTATAATTTAAAAGAATATTTTTAAATTTTTTTTTTAAATTATAAGAGATGTATGCATGTCGAATCTAAAAAATATATTATAAGATAAATAAGTTTGTAATTATAAAGAAAGTATACATAATTACTTCGAAAGAAATTTAATCTAATATAAAAAGAAGTAAATAATAACATGTGTCATTTTTTTATGAAAGAGTAAATTAAAAAAATAAATCACTATCAATATAGTGTATTTTAATTTAATATATAAGAATATAATAACTGATATTTTCAAAGAAAGAATAAATTTTAATATAAGAAATTTTGAAATAAATTAATTTTAAAAAATAAGCCACAGAGATTTGGAGTAAAAAAACAAAATTTTAAGAGCTTTTGTTAAAGTCTGTTTGGTTTAGTTTTTATTTATAAGGAAAAGAGAAATTAAAAAAATATCCAAACATATACTTAGCTGTCTGTAGCCAATAACTAACTTTTTATATGCATTGATGCAAACAGGCATTATAGATAATGACAGCTCACGAGCCCATCAATTTACCACTTGCATCTAATGCAATGGACAGTTTCGTTCTTTCTCTCAGAGTTATTGGGCATCAACGGTGGCGGTATTGAGTTACTGGGTCACTGGTTGAATCGGTTGACCCGGATATATATATAGATATATAAAAATATATATAAATATGAACATATAAATTTAATTATGTTCTCTATATCTAAAATGAATTAAATAAGGTTCATTAAATAAGCTCAAAAACATGAATCATAAATAAATAAAAATGCATACTATTACTATGTCAATTTAAATTGCAACTCATAATCCGCATAAACATATCTCTTAATGACATTGAACTCATATTTTTCAAATTCAACTACATTAAAAAGGACATATGTCACAATCTCTTAATTTATTATTCCGCACGCAAATTGCTTCAGTATTGAAAGCTGAAATTTGAGGTCAGTGTAGAAGAGTATACTAGCAAATAAAATTACAAAAAAAATTTAAAATGAGTTCTAAATTTTTTTAACAAGATGAAATAATTTTAATTTTTTGATTTTTTTTTTTTTTAAATGCATGACCCTACCGGGTCAGTAGTTTTGATCAGGTCGATGCATGATCGGTCCAATGCTTGACTCGAACCGGTCTGGTGACCAGATCACCGAATTTCTGGTTGACCCGCCCGGATCGGACCGAGTTGTACATCAATGCTTTCTGTCAAGGTCCAGCTGGCCTAAGAAGGCAAATTTATTGCAAAGATAATACATGTCAGAAAGTGGACTCTGTCACTCTGGTCATTCTGATCATTGGCAATGTCAATGCCGTATTAAGAGATCATTCAATGGTTGGATTATTTTTAACACCTTCAATGGTATTGTTGTGTGTATCATCAATATGAATTAAATCATGAAAATCAATTAGATTATCTCTGGAATGATCATAAAATTTCAGAATAACCGTGGTCAATAAAATTTCCTTGAACTAATTTTCCTTCAACTCCCTGGTCCCTACTATATCAACTTCGTAGTACAACTTAATCCAGACACTTGGATTGGATACTGTTGGGAATCTCTCTGGTTGTCTCAAAGTGGAGCTATATTTATTTTAGTTTGTGCAGTTGGTAACAGAAAGGGGATTGCAGGGAAGAAAGAAAGGAAATGATGCTTGGTGCACTCCATAATATTCAGTTCCCATTCGTAGTCATGAAGTATTTTGATTGGCAACGTAACGTTGGTGCTTGATATCCAAGACCAAGTTGTGTCGTGCACTTTTATGCATTACACATGTCGAGTACTACACAAACATAACAACAATTTTATTATTTCTTATATCATCCCAATGTACTTGTGCTTCCATTGTGGCCGACACACGTGCCTCACCAGGTTAACTTAAAACTACCTAGGGTAGAATTTCATTTCTTAATTTGGTTAAGATGGCTACTGCAGGGTTTTGATATTTATATGCAGAAACTTTTTTTTTTCTGTTTCTTACTTTACAATTTATGTACATCAGGACTCGTTGCCCAATCAATTGTCCGCCTGGGAAATGAAATTGTCTCTTAAAATGTGTTTCTCTTGTTTTATTTATTAATACAAAAGAAAATGTGTAAAAGTAATGAAACAAAAATGATGTGTAAATATAATTTTCTTAGCTACGAAGAACTAAACTCAGTTGCAATTATTTCGCTAACCAGATTGCAAATAAAGAAAAATATACTGCAACATATGAGAAGTGAACATCACCTAGCATCTCCGAAATGAATTTAATCAGTAAAACTCGGAATCCAATTCACAATTGTGTAGACAATTAATGGTAAACATGAAAACAAATCTCAGCTGTGGCAGCCCAGCTTGGAGTCTGCTAGTGTACTTATTCTAAAAATTGGTGGAATTGAAACAAAATTTTTTCAATATAAAATAAAATAAATAAAATTCAAGATTAACGAGAGCTCAGCTATAATGCCAATGCAAGACTCGGGAAAATGAAATTCCCTCAGATTTGACTTGAGTCCCTCCCAAAAATGAAACGTCTCGCCCAGTCCGTAACTACTAGCGCCCTTGTACGCCAGCTTACTTGCTTGCTGTTCAAAGGATTAAATAAAGCTTTATAACTTAGTCTCCTAAAACTAATGTAGTTTTGTGAATATACAGAAGCGAAAAAGGAATACAATACCTTGCATAGACAGAATACCACAGCCATTGACTGCTGTGACCAATTGAAACCCAATCCCCAGGAAGCTGGGCAGCTGTCTGCTCTCCCCCCAAAGGAGCGAATTGACCTAAATGCTTGTACCTTGAGGAAAATCAACCACGTGTTAATGAGTTAATTAAACATTGGCCAACTAATGAAAAACCTTTTAATCATTATAAATGTAAACAGAATTGGGTAAACGGTGAGAACTTGAAAGTTGGTTTGATCCTGTATTGTACCTAAAGGGTTTGAACCGATGACGGCCTTCTCCCCTGAACCTGAGAGGACCCTCAGGATCTTTTTCACACTCTTCCATATGGTTAAAACACTTGGCCAAGTAAGTGCCTTGTTGAGATGCAACCTGATATGAATTTTCATAAACTCAAATGTCATATCACTGGGAAACATGCACCATATAAATACCGTTAGAGAGAATGCCACAAGTAAATAACATGACATGCACCTGCGCTGTAGCAGGAAGAAATTTCATCTGAGAATCCACATTGGAAAGTGCTGTTTTGAGTTCTTCGATATTCAGTTCAATTGATTCTTTTTTAACATCTCCTTTGGCTTCTTTCAATAAATCAGCAATGTTGCGCATCTGTTTATTCTTCAGAAATAGCTCCACCTGAGGATATCTTTCCAAGATGTCATTCATGACCTCTTGAAATTCTTTGACCGTAAGTGTTCCAGAACTGTCTTTGTCAGCCTTCTTAAAGATCGCCACAATATCTTCCTAAAATGCAAAAACCAATTCACAATTAACAGCAAGAAGAGCATTTGAATTGAAATAAATAATAGTTAATTAATATTGCCTAGATTGACAATTAAGCTATTGTGCATTGTGTTTAATGGTTAATAGATAAAAAATTCTCTCTCTCTTCGAAGTTAAATATGCCTTTAAAGCAAAATAGAACAAAGAAACTGCAAAAATAAAAGCCAGATGTAAAATTACATTATTGATAATAATAAGTCTATGGATAAGAATGTCACATGCGTATAGCAAGCACATACTAGGAAGCAAGTCAATTAAATATATGATGGAAATATTTAGGTACCATGACTTTTCTCTGGTTTATCGTTGCACAATCACCTAGCGCGTACACATTGTTGCATCCCTCAACTCTCAACCATTCATCAGTAGCTAGAGCACGCCTGCTAGCCTGTTGAGAATAGACAATGCTGAGTGAATAATAAATGAATGTAAATTTATTTGCTGAACGATAGATACAAACTACAAGAGAAACATATATAATACGGAACTATGCATCAGCATAGATATGATATATAATTTCTCAGTAACATACCTGACCAATTTGTGTCATAAAATCTTTAATAAATGGACGAGTGCCAATACCAGTTGACCAGACAGCCATTCCATATGGAATTGTAGTAATCTTTCCTCCATTTTTCAGTTCTTTAGTGGAAATTTCTTTCTCGGATACTTTCACAACCATGGATCCTGTTTTCAAATCAATCCCATCTCTTTGAAACTTGTCTTCAGCAAAAGCAGTGATTCTTTTGTCAAACCTATGAAAAGAGCAACGAGAACACATCAAAAGTGCAAACTGAATAACAGAAGATTCAAACATTAGTAACTCCTTTAGGATAAGTATGAATAGTAAAATCCGGCATTTTATCCACCACCAACTTGCTTAGTTTTTGGTAGTACAGGCTGCTGAATATGAACCCTGACCCACTGTTTTTGGGATCAAAGATCAGGAACCAGCGAATAACTACACAATAACTACCTTTTGTAGTTTGTCTTGAGCTTTCCAATTTTCTACTCCATTCACCATGTGCAACTGGGACTAAAGAGAAATATTTGTGTTTAGGCTGGTTAGACACTTAAACACGTCTGGTCCAATTCAAACAGCTGAAACTTCCAATAATTGCTAACTTGACGGTTAATTTCTAGGATTCCAATGTCTGCATATCAGATGAACTACCACTTCTCCTTTGGTGAATCATGCCAGTATGGTTTTCAGTTACTAAAAATTTGTGGAACTAATTTTCCACACAACTAAGCCACCCAACCGCACAGTTAAAACCCATGACTGAATCAAATAATTTTGAATGCCTACTCACATAAAGAGTAAACTATGTGTGACCAGGTATCATTGGAACAAGTTCCTAAAAATAAGAAGGAAAAAGTGTGGATAATATTTGACATCCTTACATGCTCAGAATATGATCTCCGGCCTCCAAAAGTGTAATTTTAACCAAATCTTTTATACCGGGATATAAACGGACCAAATCCTCATTGACAAAGTCATGAAGTGAGGCTGCAAACTCTACTCCAGTTGGCCCACCTCCAACAATAGCAAAATGAAGAATTCTCTTCTTCTCTTCTTCACTAACACCGGGCAAATTTGCTCTCTCGAAGCAGTCAAGTACCTTTCTTCTAATCTTCTGAGCATCTTCAACTTCCTGCACAGGCATATCAATGAGATTATTGAAAACCAAAAGCATCCACACTAGCATAAACAGAATCCACTAAACACCTTAGTCACCCAAATAACAATGGATTTGACGCCTTTCCCACTTCCCCTGATTATTTCTTAACTGAACGAAGCATTTCTTAAATGCTGTACACCATAACATTCACTGAAAGTATGGATAAGATGGAAGTTACCTTCAAAAAATGACAATTCTCAACCACTCCTGGAGTATTGAATGTGTTAACAGTAGCGCCCACGCTGATGATCAGGTAGTCATAGTCGACAACAAATTCTTCTTTCCCATGCAAACTATTGTTCACATTAGATCGACAGTAGAGTTTCCTATTTTCTTCATCTATCTTAACACATTCCGCTTCATTGAATTGTATGTTCACCTTTTTCTGCTCAGAGAAAAACAAGAAAAGCGGTCTAATTAGAGCCATCCTCTACAGAATCTACTTACGCTAGCGAACAACTTGGCATGCATATTACTTCAGACAATCTAATAACCAGAATCTGCATCTCCTAATAATAATTGGTGATCGTATCAACATTCCCTTCTTGTTTATGATGAGCTACAATCTTGTAGTGGACTTATCATAAACCAATTATTGTATGTATGAAGAGAAATACGGTATCCTAGTATGTACAACAGGGAAGGCAAACTTCACAATCAAATCGAGCATCCCGAAATGACACATATGACTAAAGCTCTGTTTGTATTATAGAAACTGGAACTAAATGATATCAAAAATTTCAACGGAAATACAGTTGACTTCAAAACCATTCTCTTTTTCTTTTTCCCTTTAAAAAAAATGGGAGCAACATTTTGGATACTCTCATGTAAAAAAAGTAGTCATGTGGTCATATTATTTGATCACAACTACTAATTTAAGAATTATGCATTTTTTTCTCTCTTATGTCATCATCTTTTATGTCATCATGTATACAATTTTACACGTGAAAGAATGCAAATCCTTATAAGAGGTGTTTTACGAAATGGATTCAATTTCAAAAGAGGTGATTCTCAATCAAACATATAAAATTCCGTTGACAAGACTATTAAAAAACATTAAACCGCAGATCTTTTTTTAATAACGTTATGGAATATGGAGATAAAATATATTGAAACAAAAAAATATGAATGAAACAGTAAGAAATTGTATGGCATTTAAATCTTCACCTTCCTTAAAATATTGCGAACGGGTTCAACAATGCTGCGCGCTTCGATGGTGCCGCACGTAACGCTAGGCAGCAAAGGAGTAAATGCAAAATAGTTACGAGGCGACACCACCTGAACCTCATATTTCGGATTGTTCAGATTCTTCAAGAAACTTGTGCCCGCCCAACCAGTTCCCAGCACCACCACCTTTTTCTTCTCGGTAACCGCCGGTTCAGATGCAGCAACCACACCATAAGCCAAAACACCACCACCACTACAACAGCCAAAGTGATCATCCATTCATATCATCATGCACATATATCATATATGATAGATCTACATCAATCTACTCAATACGTTCATATTTTACTCGCATATCAAATGCAACGAATAGCCATAAAATTGACAAAATAAAACAGAGTATGGTTAGAAATTGAAGATGAGAGTGGCAAATACGAACGGAGAATATTTTGACATTTTAACATAAAAAGAATTCCTAAATAATATAGGTTGAGATTTCAGATTTAATGCAATGCATGGATCTAACTTTTTTTTTTTTTTTTAAACTTGAGAAAACAGTGAAAATCGCTGTAGAGTGAAAATAAGATGAAGCAAACACGATATTAACAAATAACAGAGAAGACAAATGATAACTGCATTTACTTTTGAGAACAAAAATAAGAAAAGATAATAGCGAAAGCAGATTGAAGAATGAGGTTAATAATATTAAAATATACCTTACGGCGGTGCAAAGCAGTACAAGCTTAAGATGCGACTGATGATCACGGAAAGTTCTAGAAAGACGCTCGAAGACAGTGAAACTTGTCATTTGTATAGCAAGTTTCTCGCAGCGAGAATGTGTGTCCGAAATTATGGGGAAAGAAAACAGAGAGAAGAAGTCGAGAAAGATAGGAGTCTCGTGTGTTAGAAGAGAGCGCAATACCCATGAAAATGGGAAAAAACAACGAGAGGCTGCTTTTATATGCTCAATTTGTCAGATTTGTCCCTTTCTTGGCAGCCAAGTTAGGGCAGTCAGCGTTTTAATCAAGCATGATTCAGAGGAATTTTTATATTTTTTTTAATTCAGAGGAATTTTTATATTTTTTTTATTATTCATATAATTGATGGAGTTACCATCAAAATCAAATTAATAATTATAAACTAATATTAGATGATAGTCATTACTTTAAATTTAATTAAACAGTAATAAAATAGTTGTGAGATATTATAAAAATTAAATTACAAAAATGTAACTACCTCAATTTAATTATTTTTAAGGAATTTGAACACATCCATACTGAAGGGACCACTTGGATTGATGGAGCAGCGTACCCTCAGATTCAGGGCCGCTTGATTTAATTGTCTTCAGATCTGACCATCTTAAGATTGTTGAAGTTGAATTTTTTTGAAAAAAAATAAAAATATTTTATATATATATGTGTGTACGAAAAAAAAATAGAAGTCAATTATTTTTCTCATAAACGTTAACTCAAATTTTAAATAAATTTTATAAATAAAATATTTTAGGATAGCTTCAGAAAAAGAAGAAGAAAAAAATAGACTGAGAACAAAATAAATATGTACATAGAGAATAAATCTTTGGTACATCAAATATATTGGGTACATATTTTTTTTAAAAGAAGAAATCTTTTTAAATTGACAAAAAACTAAATTTTAAAAGTGGTAAAAAAAATTTCAAATATGAAAAAAAGATGCACCGAATTGGGTACATCTAGTGCATCAAAGATTTGTTGATGCACAGAAACTAATTACCAAAAAAAAAAAATGCAATAACACATCAACAAACTTTCCAAAGAGTGGAACAATTTTTGGCTAGGGTTTTAGATAGAGCAAAATAAGAAAAATATCTTATTTAAATAAGAAAAAAGAGAAACTAAATATGATGGCTATATAATTCATTGATAGCGCCTCATCACTTTTCAATCACATTGGGTAATTTTATTTTTTTTATCCAATCAATTCAATTGATTGGTTTTCCTAATTTTAGCCAATCAATCTAAATAATTAGTTTTCTTAATTTGAGTCAATCAATTTAATCAATTGATTTTTTTTTTAATTTTATATATTGTCATCAAATGTAATTTCATGACTATATTTAAATTAAAATTTTTAATTCAAAATTCAAATTTGAATTCAAGGACTATACTAGTAAAGTGTTGTTGATGCTTTTGATGTTTTGAAGGATCTGAGTTAATTGTTTAAGCTCTTGGAAGACTCTCTTCATTATGATATATTTTGTTTGCACCACTTGGCTAACACTGATTTACCTAATGCTTAAACGCGTCTAAACTTGAACACGCATTCTCTCAATGTGCATATAAACACATTATTTTGATAAATATTTTAGATTTGAATTATTTTGATATATATTTTTTAAATAATTTGCTATTATACTATCAAACCATAACCTATGTCCAAGAGAGCAGAAGCGGATCTAGGTTAAGGAGAAGGGGGTAAGTGCCCACCCTTAATATATGATGCAAAAATATAAAATTATCCTTATCTTAAAATTTAAGTTTTTCCAATTTAATTTTGGGGTAGGATATTGTAACAATCAATTAGGGTTACTATCAATATTACTACCAATCAATTTCACCGTTAGATCAATTATGTTGATCCAACGGTTATATTTATTTTCATTTTTGTATGATTATGAATCCACATATTTAATACTTTATATTTATTTTCACCTTTGTATGGTTATGATTTTTCATATTTAATACTTTTACATTAAATATGGGGATCATAACCAAAAAGTATTAAATATGAAAAATCATAATCATACAAAGATATAAATAAATATAACCGTTGAATCAACATAATCGATCTAACGGTGAAATTGATTGGTAGTAACCCTAGTTGATTGTTACGATATTTTACCCTTTTAATTTCTCTCCTTCTATTTTATTTGCCGGTGAGTTTTTTTTTGCTCTTCCATCTTCATTGTCCAAACCTAACAGCAAAGAGCTCTATTCCAGACTCATCGTTTACATCTACATACTGATTCATCTCTTCTCAAACCTCAATCTCCGTTATTGAAAGGTGAAACATTTGATTCTTCGTCCATCATGGGTCTAGTTGAGTCGCAATCCGTCCAGATCTAGATCTCAACCAGACACACACAGCCAGCCGGCAGCTGCTCGCAAGTCGCGTTTCAGACCAGATCCAAATCTATATGTACTATTGAGTGCCCACCATTTATTAATTTCCTGGATCCGTCACTGCAAGAGAGAAGAAAGAGCGAGAGTGTAATTAGCCCACATGCATTCCCGCATGAACACTGAACATATTTTTTTATAGATGGGTAACTCAGATGTAGTGGAGGACTCAAAAAATATTATTTATGTTCGCACATTTAATGACGGAGCCCCCAAATTATTTTTTAAAGATAATTTTAAATGTATTAAAAAACAAAAAATATAAATAAGAAAAAAAAACTTCAACTTAACATAAAAAACTATTCCCAACACTTGTTTTTTAATCAAACTGATTTGTTTTATGGCATCATAAAATATCCAATAAAATATATTGTATCTCATTCTATCCGACCGTATTCCATTCATTTCAATTTCAAGCAAAACTTAATCTAATCAACATCATGTTTTAATACTATGTTTAAAAAAAAATTCCAAGAATTTATGTCCGCACTTGCGGACATAAACGACCAAACAGGTCCGCCACGGCTCACATGACTCCTCAACAATACATGTTCATGACATAGAAATTGAAAAATATTTTCAAAGGTGTTTTTTTTTGTGTGAATATATTCACATATTAATTGATTACTTGATTAGTAGAGCACTATCAATTTATTATAAAGATAACTCTCCAAAAATCATTTTCTACTTTCCTAAAGCAAAATAACCCCCGTAAAGACTGTTACAATTTAAAAAGTTAATACATTAGAAGTGACAAGAGAGTCAACAATTTTTTTAATAAATGGTGAGTCATAAAAATAATTTAGAGTAAAATATCTTTTGTCCTCAATAAATATCAAAGGGCCCAATTTAATTTTTTAGAAAAAAAATGTCGACAACTGATTCATTTGAAATTTAAAATAGACCCATATTAATTCTTTTCGAGAGATTAACATAGATCTTTTTTGAATTTTAAAATAGCCACAATTTCAACTAACTGGATCTATTTTAAATTTTAAGGAAACTACAAATCATTTTTTTCTAAGGAATTAAAAAAAATCCCATAATTTTTGTTAAAGATCCAAGAACTACTTTACTCAACAATTTAATTACGAGAGAGAAGTGTAGGATTAACCTATGTAGTTTTCGCAGATGTTAGCTATGTGCCAAACTCATGAATATTTTATAAATGATGATATTCCAGTGATGTCTTGTGTGAAAAACAACCCTGTAATGGTGTATTTTTTGTCATAATAACTTTTTTGAAAAAAAAAAAAGCTAGAATGATTTTTTAGACGTGAAATACCAACTATTAAAGGGAAAATTTTTAAATACCACAGTACACCCATTTTTCAAAATTAGTAAAATTGTATATTATTTCAGTCCATGCCTTTTTTGTCATAATAAAATTTTCGTTGACCGTGGAATTTGTACCGAGGGAGGGGGGAATTTTTTTTTTAATCCAATTGTAATTTTTTGAATGGATCAACCACATGCACCGTGATCACTTTATTTCCCCCCTCTAATAGAGGCCGACGAGTCAATTTATTGACACATTTGAATATTCGACGGGCATGTTAGTCAATCTATTGACACATTTGAATATTTGGGATTAGTGATTAATTGCAATTACAACATCGATTATAGATATAATAGTACAACGGTAACAGGAAAAACCCAAAATAGTTCCAAATCTCTAATCTTGCCTTTCACTTTCCCCCAAAACAAAACACATAATAATCCACTAGGTTAATCTTTATTAAATCTGACATTAGTTGCAACTAATCTCGCCGGAAAACATATCGTCGTCCCCGGAAAAGTTTCTGTGCTGCGTGCGTCGGAGAAATATCAATCTCGATCAAATTATCTTCTTCGAATTGAAAACCCAAGGCCCTCTTCTTACAACCATCTAGAGCTATCTCAATTAACCCTTCTCTGTCTTCTTCATCCCACCTAAAGCACATGTCTTCCGGCGAGTCCCAATTCTCCATCGCCGGAAATCCACTCTCCGAAGAGCTATCCGAGTCAGATTCCGGGTAATAACGTGACAACGAAGGGTACCTCAAAATACCCATTTCTTGTTTCTCATGGGGATCTTGCTCTGCTTCTTCACCTTCATATATGACCTTCAATGGCGCTTTCAAGTTCCATTCCACGAAAGACTCCTCAAAGAATGAACTTGATTCGAAACCCATTTGGGGACTAAACTCTATTTCTGAATTGCTCGTGACCCACCGACGAACTTGCTCCGGAGAATTGGTTTCCACCGGTTCAATAGGTTTCCCCTGTTTCTCTTCTCTGTTTTCTTCGTTGGCAATGGGTTCCGATTCGCGTGGGTTTTTCTTTTCTTCGTTTTCTTCTCTTCGCGTCGAGTTGGTTGTCCCATACGTGGAAAGTGAATCTACATGTAATGGCCCCATACTCTAAAGACATTGTCCTTGCACTTGCAATTCGAGTGTGTTCATTCGTGGCACTCCTGCGGGGATCAGGAAAAGTATCACCAAAAACCATATTGTTCCGTTCGATGTTTGACCTGTATGGGCCAGCCACTAGGAAGGAAAAGGGTCGTGGTTTCCAACAATGGGGAAGCTTCTCCTCCCTACTCCGTTGAAGAGAATGTTCAATGGCAAAATTACTCTGAACTCTGAGAGCTCTTCCCTCGAAACTCTTC